GTGCTGGAGGCGGAAACGGATGCGAACCCTGCCGCTGGGGCCCTCGGCGGAGGCTCCTATGGGGCCACGAGCCGCGCGAAGAGCGTGCTGGACTGGAGGCGGAACCAGATGCGAGCCGCGCCGCTGGGGGCTCTTTTTTAGCCACTCGCGGGTCATCGTCAGAACACTTGTTCCCGCGCGTGCCCGACGCGCGACGGGGGGCCCGAAAGACGAGAAAAAAGTGAACGAGGGGCTGATCCCCAGGACCCAGACAAACAATGGAGTCACGAAGCGCGCGAGGGGTGTGCCAGAATGGGGGTGGAGCTGCATGCGAGCATTGCCACCTGGGCCTTCGGCGGAGCTCCCAATGAGCCACGAAGCGCGCGAGGGGCGTGCCGAGCCCCCTATAAGGCCAAATAGCGCGTGAAGGGCGCGCCGACATGGGCGCGCCGCGGGGCCAGGACGCGCGCGCGCGATGCGCCGAACTTGGCGTGGGGGACGCATGCGGGCGCGCCCACTGGGACCTTCGGTGGAGCCCCATATGGGGCCGCAAAGCGCGCGAGGGGCGTGCCGACATGGGCGCGGGGGGCGCGCGAGGGCGCCCCCGACGGGACCTTCCGTGGGGCCCCCTATAAGGGCCACCGCGCGCGTGTGGGGCGTGCCGAAATGGGCGCGGTCGGGCGCACGCAGTCGCGCCCGCTGGGGCCGCCGGCGGAGCTCCCTGTAGAGCCAAGTAGCGCGCGAAGGGCGCGCCGACATGGGCGCGCCACGGGGTCGGGGCACGCGCGCGCGATGCGCCGGCGCGCGCTCCCGGGGACACGCGCGGGCGCACCCGCTGGGACCATCGGTGGAGCCCCATATGGGGCCGCGAAGCGTGCGACGGGTGCGCCGACATGGGCGCGGGGGGCGCGCGTGGGAGCACCCGCTGGGGGGCCGCGAAACGTTCGAAAGCGAGCCGAAATGGAGGCGGGGGACGCATGCGGGCACGCCCACTGGTCGGGGGAGCACCCTATGGGGTCGCGACACGTGCGAAGGGTTTGCCGAAATGCGCGCGGGGGACGCGCGCAGGCACACCCACTGGGACCTTCTGTGGACCCCCTATGGGGCCGCGAGGCGTGTGCCAGGCGCTTGCCAGCATGCCGCGGCGGCCGCGCGTGGCGCGGAGGCCGCGGAGGCCGCGCGCGCCGCGGCGGCCTCGTGGGCGGCGGCCGCAAGCGGCCGCGGAGGCGGCGAAGCGGGGGCGAAGTCCGCCAACGGCCGCGGCGGCGGGGTGGCGCTGGCACTGGCTGTGGCAAGGGCTGCCGTCCACGCGGCTTCCTGGCCGGATTTCCTGGGCCCTGGACAGGGCTTGCACGGTCGAGGAGGACAGGGGATCCATGTCATCGTCGACAACGAGGAACCTATTATCGAGCTTGCGTGGCGCGCGTTCCTGAAGGCATCGGGCTGGCGATCGACGGCGCTGAAGCAGCGGGGCGATGCGCGCCCCTCCGCGCGAGGACATTATTGGACGCCCGTTGCCTTGCCCAGCTCCAGGAGCTCTTGCTCGAATTCCCATACGAACTTGTCCGCTGGGACGACGTATCATGCGCAGCCGAAGTCGACAGAACGAAACGCACGTCTTCCGTCATGGGGCTCTTGTTCACTGCGCAATACTGGTGCCACGCCCAGAAGTCAATCTCGATCATATGTTTGTCGCCATTATGCTCATCGCGGCAAGCTTTCGGCAGCTCGTGTCAACGGTGAGCCGCCTCGAACATCTGAAAGGCATGGAGGAACGGCCAGAGTTCCTGGATCCCGCGCGGCACGGCGCGCAAAGCACGACGACGAATTTCGTCGCTGTCTGCTGGGGGATCGTGGAAGCCCTTCTCCCACTTGAAGACGAGGTCCGGCAGGTCGTGCCGCGAAGCGCGGTACGCCTTCACCCTTGGGTTTTCCCCATGCAATGCGACCACGGCGGGGGCGTCACGGGAACACTTCCGCCGACGCCAGTGGCCATCCCTTCTGTCCTCGCGCGAGCTGGCAAAGGATGGTTGACCCGAAGCCAGTTGTTCCATCTAATTCTCCGTGTTGGAAGCGGCCATGGCGGCATGGGCAGCGGAACCGAGGCGGATTCTCGGGAGCACCCGGGCCAGCGCGCCCGTTTGAGTTTTACGTGGCTGACGATGGTGATGATGACGGCGAAGTGATGATGAATGATAACAAAGGATGGGTGCTAACGATAACTGTGATGGGAGACTTAAATCGATGAGGTGATGATGATAACCTGAACGTAGATGATGGCGTTTGATCGCGATAGTGGCTGTGATAGTGCAAACCCAATGATGGTTGACGGTGAAGATGAGGGTGGCACTGATGACGGTAATTACCGATGATGACGAACACGGCGGCGTTGATGAGGATGGCAACAAAGATGACCAGGAGGAAAGGAAAGCGCACAGACCTGCAGACTTGCGAGTCTGTTGGCGCGCACAAATCTGCAGGTCTGCAGCTCTGACCGCCGCCAGCGGGCCACGAACAGGACGACTGGCTCGTGCCCATTCTCATTTGAGGGAGTTTTTGTGGAACTCACGTCATCCTCACCCCCGGCGCGAAGAGCACAAGCCCAGAGCGGCCTCCGGCACCGTTTCCGGACGGATCCGCTGGATCCGCTGGATCCGCTGGATCCGGTGACGAATCCCAAACCGGCGCCCTCGCCTGAGACATCCTCACAAAACGGGCCCCGGGGGGGATGCCCAGAGGAGCCCAGAGCGGCCTCCGGCACCGTTTCCGGACGGATCCGCTGGATCCGCTGGATCCGGTGACGAATCCCAAACCGGCGCCCTCGCCTGAGACATCCTCACAAAACGGGCCCCGGGGGGGATGCCCAGAGGAGCCCAGAGCGGCCTCCGGCACCGTTTCCGGACGGATCCGCTGGATCCGCTGGATCCGGTGACGAATCCCAAACCGGCGCCCTCGCCTGAGACATCCTCACAAAACGGGCCCCGGGGGGGATGCCCAGAGGAGCCCAGAGCGGCCTCCGGCACCGTTTCCGGACGGATCCGCTGGATCCGCTGGATCCGGTGACGAATCCCAAACCGGCGCCCTCGCCTGAGACATCCTCACAAAACGGGCCCCGGGGGGGATGCCCAGAGGAGCCCAGAGCGGCCTCCGGCACCGTTTCCGGACGGATCCGCTGGATCCGCTGGATCCGGTGACGAATCCCAAACCGGCGCCCTCGCCTGAGACATCCTCACAAAACGGGCCCCGGGGGGGATGCCCAGAGGAGCCCAGAGCGGCCTCCGGCACCGTTTCCGGACGGATCCGCTGGATCCGCTGGATCCGCTGGATCCGGTGACGAATCCCAAACCGGCGCCCTCGCCTGAGACATCCTCACAAAACGGGCCCCGGGGGGGATGCCCAGAGGAGCCCAGAGCGGCCTCCGGCACCGTTTCCGGACGGATCCGCTGGATCCGCTGGATCCGGTGACGAATCCCAAACCGGCGCCCTCGCCTGAGACATCCTCACAAAACGGGCCCCGGGGGGGATGCCCAGAGGAGCCCAGAGCGGCCTCCGGCACCGTTTCCGGACGGATCCGCTGGATCCGCTGGATCCGCTGGATCCGGTGACGAATCCCAAACCGGCGCCCTCGCCTGAGACATCCTCACAAAACGGGCCCCGGGGGGGATGCCCAGAGGAGCCCAGAGCGGCCTCCGGCACCGTTTCCGGACGGATCCGCTGGATCCGCTGGATCCGGTGACGAATCCCAAACCGGCGCCCTCGCCTGAGACATCCTCACAAAACGGGCCCCGGGGGGGATGCCCAGAGGAGCCCAGAGCGGCCTCCGGTCCTCACAAAACGGGCCCCGGGGGGGAGCCCAGAGGAGCCCAGAGCGGCCTCCGGCACCGTTTCCAGACGGATCCGCTGGATCCGCTGGATCCGGTGACGAATCCCAAACCGGCGCCCTCGCCTGAGACATCCTCACAAAACGGGCCCCGGGGGGGATGCCCAGAGGAGCCCAGAGCGGCCTCCGGCACCGTTTCCGGACGGATCCGCTGGATCCGCTGGATCCGGTGACGAATCCCAAACCGGCGCCCTCGCCTGAGACATCCTCACAAAACGGGCCCCGGGGGGGATGCCCAGAGGAGCCCAGAGCGGCCTCCGGCACCGTTTCCGGACGGATCCGCTGGATCCGCTGGATCCGGTCCGACGAATCCCAAACCGGCGCCCTCGCCTGAGACATCCTCACAAAACGGGCCCCGGGGGGGATGCCCAGAGGAGCCCAGAGCGGCCTCTGGCACCGTTTCTGGACGGACGACCTGACTGCATGACACGCCTGGATATGCCGACGGGGGCGAAGGAGGAGGAGGAGGAGGAGGAGGAGGAGGAGGAGGAGGAGGAGGAGGAGGAGGAGGAGGAGGAGGAGGAGGGGGAGGGGGCAGGCGAGGGAGCCCCGGCCCTGGGGGAGGGGCCCTGAGGGAGCCCTGATGGGCTTCCGGCACCATGGAGAGGTCCTGTGGGGCGGCCGCCCCTTCTTCTCTCGGTCGTTTCCCTCTCGCCCAGAAGCGCGCGCCCCTTCTTCTATATATACAGAAACTCCCGATCAACCGCAGAGCGGCGGATGTTCGTGTCGGCTCTGGGTGCGCCGACGAGGGCGGCCAAGAAGAGTGGGGGGGCGCATCATGGCCCGAGGCACGTAATTACGCAGACGAGGGGGGGGACCAAGGAACCCGCCGTGAGAACAGGGGGTCATGGAAACTGGGAGACGTCATGGCCCCGGGAATATCCATACGCCCCTGGTCCTCACCCCCCTCTTCGGCGCCTGGTGGATTTCGGGTCGTAATTCGGACCTCCACCAGCCGTTCGGAACGATCCGGAACCCCCGGAACGCCCTCGGCGAGTCGCAGCTGCTGAAAAGCATCCAGAGGCTGGACAAGACGCCGAAAGATACAAAAACGCATGACAAACTCGAACGTAGAACGCCCGAGTCCTCAATCCTCTCTTGGACGCCCCCGATCGCACCCCTTGGCGCCCGGGACGGGATCCTTCATCCTGCGGTGCAGGCTGCCCTCGTCCTCGGAGGTCCGGGCGCGCGCGCGCGGCGCGGATCGCCCCGCCCTCCCTGCTCCACCTCTTGTATTGCTGCTGCCCTCTTTCCTGGCTACCCCTCTCCCGTTCCCACCCCCCGCCTCCCTGAACGACGCGCACACGGGCGTGGAGGGAGGGGGGAGGATTTCTTAGAAGGAGGCTGCTTCTAAGAAGGCGACGGAATTAAATCTATAGATAAGGCCCGCGCCTTCTAAGAAGCAGGGGTGCTTCTAAGAAGCCCTCCACCCCCCTGTGCGCGTAGCTGACTCCCTCCTGGTTCCCTTTGCCCCCCTCCTCCTCCTCTGCCGTCTCTTCCCTTTTCCCGACTACGATGACGAGGGCATCGTCGTCGTCCCCCTCCGCCGCCTGATCGCCCCACGACGACGACGACCATCTTGCAGCTAGCCACGCCGAGATCAAGTTTGCTGCGAACGCACTTCCGGTTGCCTCCCCCCGGGGAGCCTCCCCCCCTCCGCTCCCACCCCTACACTCCCCTGGCCTACCATCTATCCTCGCCCCTGCTCCCTTCATCACCTCGTCTTTGTTCATGATACGCATAGATACACAAACACACACACACAAACACACACACACACACACAAGAACCGCATGCGCTCGCTCCGCGCGCGCTGAAGTTCTAGCGCAGCCCAGGGCGCTGTGATGATACGAAAGTATGGGTTGCGGACGACTCGCTGTCAGAGAAGGGTTGCGGCCGTCTTTGGCCAGTTATGGGATTTCGCAGGGCTTCGTTGAACTGGCGTCGGAGCTGTTTAGACGCTGTCTTTGGGGGGGGTGGGGGGGGCAGCGTGTGTCTTTAGCCCTAATGGCGCCGTCCAGGTTTGCCATATCGCTGTCGCAACACGCAAGCCTTGGCTTGAGGGTTTGTCGGGGGGATCGCTGAACAGCCTTGGGACATCGACTGGATCTGGTGAAATGTCGAGGACGTAGTTTGCTGATATTTGGATGTTGTCGCATGCTCTTGGATTGGCTTCGGCGCTGGTTTGGGAAAGTGGGGCCTGTAGAACGTGTATACGCATTGGCTGCATACTTGTTTATACCATGTGATGTCCCTGGGGATACTCGTGGGGAGCAGTGGGGACAAGTGAAGTACGGGGACAAATGTGGAGAGCTGGGGAAGAGCATAGAGAAATGAAATGGAGACGGATGGAGAAAAGTGCAATTGGGTGGGAAGTAGCGCGAAGATAGGAGCGGAGTGGAGTGGAATGGAGTTGACTTGAGTGTGAATGATATTGATTTGGAGAGAGTGGAAAGACGGGAGGAATGGAGAGTGGGATACAGTCGAAAGGAACGCAGACGAATGCGGAGGAGTGGGAAAGGATGGAGTGGGGAGGAATGGGAAGGAGTGAGGAGGGGTGGGGAGGGGTGGGGAGGAGTGGGGGAAATGTAGTGGACTGCGTAGGAATGGGGAGCAGTGGAGTGGAGTGGAGCGGAGTGGGGATAATGGGAGGAGTGCAGAGAAGTGGGGAGGAGTGAAATTGGGTGGAATGGGGCGGGGAAGAGTGGGGAGGAGAAGAACGGGTGCAATGAAAGAGAACGCACGCGCTATCACACGGACTGGCGGTGAACATGCAGGGGCAACGAGAATTGCCCGATGATCTGCAAACAACTGCCTTTAGAAGAAGGCACTCGCTGTCACCCTGGCTGGCCGAGCACGTACGGGAGAAGCGAGGAATGACGCAGGACGGGACTGGCTGCCACCCGCTGCCACGCCAGCCGGCGGAGCACGTGCAGAACGAACGAGGAATGCCAAAGGACGGACGGACGAGAGAATGGACGCGCTGTGACGCCAGGTGGCGGAGCGTTTGCAGGAAGAGCAAGGAAAAAAGAGGAAGGAGGGACCGTAACCATTATATTGAATGCATGCGCTGTCACGCCACCTGGCGTCATTGCACCCGCCTTGCAGACGTGCTGCAGCGGATTCTTGCGTGGATTTCTGCGTGGATCTTTGCCGGAAGCGAAAAGAATTTCGCGTGGATTCTTTTGGTTTTTTTTCCTGGCCAAACAAATTCGCACGGAATGCACCTCGAAATCCGGAACAAATTCTCCAGGACACTCCGGGCCCATCCTATCGTTTTCCCAACGAAATCCGCTCTGCGATGGTGGCGCGATGACATGCGCTGTCACGCCAGCTGGCGGGGCACGTGCAGGAAGAAGGAGGGGCAACGGAGCACGGAGAGAAAGCTGCCTTGCGATAGCATGCACGCGCTGTCACGCCAGCTTACGGGGCACGTGCGGGAAGGACGAGGAACGACGGAGGCAGGAGGCAGAATAAGACATGGAGGACGGACAAAAAGGCTCTCTTGAGCCGTTTTGTGGTCCTCCTGGGGCGTGCCAGGACCGTTTTCGTGTTTTCCCGTGGTGCTGTGATGGCATGCAGTGTCATGTTGGGGCATCTTGGGACCCTATGGGGCCTTCTTGGACTGGCATTTCTTAGGCGAGGCGATGCGAGGCGAGCGCGCGAGTTCGGTCCGGCGGGACCAGCCCTCATAGGGCGGCGCGGGGGGGGCGGAGCCCTCAGGAGACGTCTGGGGGCAGGAGTCGGAGAGAGAGCCGGAGTCGGAGAGATGGATGGGAACCGGAGTCGGAAAGGTATGAGCAGGAGTCGGAGAAACGACCAGAGTGGGCAGAACACGTAACGCTGGAGTCGGGGAAGCATTCAAGATTCTATAGGTTGTAGTGGCCGCAGGCGTATGGCTGGCATTGGAGCGTTGTTCCCCACATGTTTCGTGGGGTTCTGTTTTTTCCCCACATGTTTCGTGGGGTTATGGTTTTCTTCCCTGCCGCGCCGCACCCGCGTCTCGCACCTCCCCCATCCCCTTCTCCTTCTCGCAGCTCAGCTCAACTCAGCACAGCACAGCACAGCACGGCACAGCACAGCTCACCGCACAGCAGCACAGCACAGCACAGCACAACGCCACAGGGGGTGCGCTGGGGGTGGGGGCCCTATGCGTTGTAGGCTCCCAGGGCGTGGCAGGCGTGGCATTTCCTGGGCGCCGCAGGGGGTGCGCTGGGGGTGGGGGCCCTATGCGCTGCGTGCAACGCATAGGGCCCCCATCCCCCCAAGGGTGCGCTCGGGGTGGGGGCCTTACGCGTTGCAGGCTCCCAGGGCGTGGCAGGCGTGGCATTTCCTCGACGCCACAGGGGGTGCGCTGGGGGTGAGGGCCCTTTGAGGAGAAGGACGGGGAGGTGGGGCAGCAGCAGCGGCAGCAGCAGCAGCAGCAGCAGCAGCAGCTGCAGCAGCAGACGCAGCAGCAGCAGCAGAAGCAGCAGCAGGAGGAGGACACCGAGGAGGAGAAGGAGGAGCAGCAGCAGAAGCACCGATGGTACACATGGGACATAAAATAGCTATGTGGGGTTCCTCGGTAGCGTAATTTCCCTGCCGCGCCGCACCCGCGTCTCACACCTCCCCCCTCCCCTCGTCCAGGCACGCCACAGGGGGTGCGCTGGGGGTGGGGGCCCTATGCGTTGTAGGCTCCCAGGGCGTGGCAGGCGTGGCATTTCCTGGGCGCCGCAGGGGGTGCGCTGGGGGTGGGGGCCCTATGCGCTGCGTGCAACGCATAGGGCCCCCACCCCCCCAAGGGTGCGCTCGGGGTGGGGGCCCTATGCGTTGCAGGCTCCCAGGGCGTGGCAGGCGTGGCATTTCCTCGACGCCACAGGGGGTGCGCTGGGGGTGAGGGCCCTTTGAGGAGGAGGACGGGGAGGTGGGGCAGCAGCAGCGGCAGCAGCAGCAGCAGCAGCAGCTGCAGCAGCAGACGCAGCAGCAGCAGCAGCAGAAGCAGCAGCAGGAGGAGGACACCGAGGAGGAGAAGGAGGAGCAGCAGCAGAAGCACCGATTGTACACATGGGAAATAAAATAGGTATGTGGGGTTCCTCGGTAGCGTAACTGGTTATTCGCCATCTCGGACTCTGTGAAGACGAAGAAAGCGAGTGCGCTAAAATGAATGAAACAACCATCAGCAAATCTCTGACTGTCACCTCCCTGAGGCCTCTTGGAGGTACTCTTGGAGCGTTCTTGGCGGGTCCTGGGTCGTCATGGAGGCGTTTATGAGCGGCTTTGGCGCCACAATGGGCCCTCTAGGGTTTGCCGTTTGTGGGGACCACTGTGAAGCGTATTGGTGTCTCGAGTGGGGCCTCGAGGTCCGATTCATCATTCCCCGAAACCTCTCTGGGAACATCGTGTAGGATGTGGACGCGTGGCCTCTTAGAGGCTGCTTGGGGTCTTCTTAGAGGCCTCCTGGGGGCCTTTTGGAAGCATGCGGGCCTCTTGAAGGCGGCTGTGGGGCATCCTTTTGGCTTCTTGGGGGCATCAAGGGGCCTCTGGGAAGCTTCTGGGGGGCCTGCTGGCGATCTTTGGGATCCTCTTGCCGCCTTGGGTTCGAAGTTCGAGCTCCTCCTCAGGGCCCTCTTAGGGCCTCGTTGTCCATCCGGGGCGCCTTTGGGGTCTCTCTCGGACCGTCCAAGGTCCGTCCTGTTTGGTGGTAGGCCGTCTTGGCGCCCGCTGGGGCCGTTATGGGCGCTGGTAAAACGAAGCTGCGAAAATGCTTTCCCCCGCGGGAATGGGACGATGTTGGCCTCTCGCGGCCCTCTTGAGGGGTCTCTTCGGGCACTCTTGGACCCTCCAGGGGGCGCATTGGCCGTCTTGAAGCCATCCTGAGCGGTCTTGGATCGCTCGTGGGGCGCTCTTGGGGCTTCTTGGAGGCCTCTGGGACCGTCGGGAGGTCATCGTCGGTGCCGTTGGGGCGCTCCCAGCGGTGAGAGAGATCTCCTACGGGCCGAAAGAGGAACATGGGCCCCCAGGGCCTAATCAGGTTGCGGGGGAGAGGGGGGCGAAATTGTCTGTGCGTGTTGGGAGAAGCCTGGGGGGGCCCAAAAGTTCGACACGCGCGTATACCTATTATACATATATATATATATATATATATGTGTGTGTGTGTATGTATGCATGCATGTATATATGTGTGTCTCTAGACATGCATGCTTGTGTATGCATGTGTGTATGTACGTCTGCACGTGTGTACATAGTCATATATATATATATACATGTAGGGTTTAGGGTTTAGGGCTTAGGGTAGGTATGCGCATGTGTATATATAGTGTATGTATAGATGTGAATACATGCGTGTACATATGTATGTATACATAAATACGTGTGAATGTGTACAGTGTATATATATATATTCACATATCTATATATACACGCATACATACACACATACATGTATACACACATACATACATACATACATACATACATACATACATACATACATACATGCATGCATGCATGCATGCATGCATGCATGCATGCATACATGCATACATACATACATACATACATACATACATACATATATGCATACATACATACATACATACATACATACATGCATGCATGCATGCATGCATGCATGCATGCATGCATACATACATACATACATACATACATACTAGAACCACGCGCGCTTCGCGCGGGCTCAGGTTCTAGCACGCCCCAGGCCTTGACAAGCTGACGCGCACAATTCTGGGAGGACCCTGGGGACCTGTCGGGGTCTCTTGGTGAGCCTTTTGGAGGCCTCTTGGGGCGGAAAATTCCAAATTTCCATTGGCCCCTTCTTGGACCGTCTTGGGGCTTTCCTGGGCCGTCTTGGAGACCTCTTGGGGGCCTCTTGGGCCGCTTTGGGAGACGCCGTGAGAGCCCAAAAGGGGGATGTGGTAAACATATGCGTTGCCCGATAGGAATATGTCAATGTTGCCTCTCGGGGCTCTCGTGGGGGGCCGATTGAGGGCCACTTGGGGCGTTTCGGACGCTTTTTGGCGGTGTTGGAAGCATCTCTGAGGCCATATTGAGCCATCGTGGCCGTCGTGGAGGGCATCCAACGCGTATTGGAGCGGGAAGGAGAGTTCCTGAAGCTCCTACACTGCCATGGGGACTGCGTCTGCCCACCCGGGCCCAAAACGCCGGTTCTATATAAAGTCCCCACCGATGTTACGCGATGGAGCTCAATCGCCTTTGCCCTTGCGGTCTCCTCTCAGCAAGCCCTCTCATTCCCTGTCCTTTCCGCCCCCCTTTTAGCGGACCAGTGGAAACATATACCACGTGGCAGAAGAGCTATTGCGGGCGCGGCTGGCGCATCCCACTCCGCGCGCGACAACTGACGGATGCTGATTGTCAACTTGGTGGGCGTGCTCCACTCGGCGCGCAACACCACTCGAAAAAAATCCCTATTAGCCTGCGATGCGCTGGCGGCGATCAGCAAATCAACGGGCGCATTGGTTTTTCGTTGCAAGAGGAGCGCGGTTTCCGGCAAATGCGGGTGTAATGGTGATGCTGGTTCGGACTCATCGATGCTCAACATGGGTCGCACCGAACTGCCTTCAATTATCCGTTAAGTTGGTAAACGCTTGGATGCAGGAGCGTAAGACGGAGGGACGACAACGAAGCGAAGGCCCAAGCTTATCCTCTTGCGCCAGCGTGGGGGTCGGCCCGCGGTGCCGACCCAGGCTCCTGGGCACCGAATCGGCGCCCTGATCCAAAATTAGCTGCAACGCAATATCGCGTCACAGCAAGAAGCAGCGGCGGCGGCAGAGAGCAGGCAGGGAAAGAGGTGAAGCAACTCACCCCGCGGCGGGATGTGTAGGCCCGAAATGTTGGCCCCACTCGGAACCCCTCGGGTTCCTGCCCCCCCCCCCAGGCAGTTTGGCCCCCCTGGCGCCAAACCCAACGAGTTTCTACAGCGCCAGGGGCTGGGCGCCGAAAATATCGTAGGATCTCCATTGAGGAGGGGCGAAACAGACCGACGAATCTCACGTAGAAGCCCATGGCGTCAAATGTGAACGGGCACAAGATCTTGGCTCCGATCTTCTCGCGCATGTGGTTCGACCCCATCTAAGACCGTTTCGGGAACTTGTCCTTTGTCAAGGGCGATGACAATATGCAGCGCAATCCGTCGCAATCCAATGCTGCCAGATTCGTTCGGCCAAAACCCAGACGCAATGGCTTCCATCCTCGGCAGCGTAGCGGTTCCAAGTACACCGTCCGCCCGCGGCGTGGACATCCCAATTTTGACGTGCTAGCTGTCGGCTTGATGCGCGATTATCTGACCACTCCTCGTCCGCCCCCCCCTGTCCGCAGTCTGCCCAGGCCCCGCGCCTCCTGCTCCGCGGCGGACTCTGCGGCGCGGGCAGCGCAGCGCGCCGCGAGGGCTGCCCAAGCGACGAATCACGGAGGTAGCGGCCATCAACGGCCGCCATCGCGCCAGCGCGCAGCGGCGCAGCAGGGGGAGGGGGAGCAGCAGGTTGGTCACCGGCAATGTCGGTGGCCACACTAGCAGCGCTCTCTGTTTCCACGGGGGCCCATAACCCAGGATCAACGACGCTGCCGGCTGAGCCGCTAGCGACGATCCCAGGGGCTCCGAATTCCTTCTCGACCTTGCGCGGATATCTAAACATCAATGGCAAATTGGAAATTGGATACATGACGTTCATATGCGGTGGCATCGCTTCACCAGGTGCCCCCCGTCGGCTTCTTGCATTGCGGGACAAACGCTGTCATCTAGCCAACTTCTAGCTCAACTGGAAACCTGCATCGGCGAATCTTCTTCCATGCTACCATCGCTTGGTACTGTCAGTCGTTTCGAAGCCACAGTCTCTCCAAAGCTATATCTCGTATGTTTTGTTTGAAACATTCCAATGGATTTCTACCCGCAATTCACAAAACAATTCAAAAGTGATGTCATCGTCATCAATGATGGCTGAGGGGCCATTGTCCACACGATCGTCGTGTTCCGTCGGCTGAACGAACGCCGAGGCACGTTCCAGTCCTGGAATAAAGGGCTCATCGATGAGTGGTATAACAAAGACACTAGGGGCATTTGTCTCGTCAAACCAGCTGCAATCGTGCTCGAAAAACCCGCAGCCACTTCAGGTCGTGCGGCCGTACCGTGTTCTCCATTCACTTCCATGTTGTGCATTCGACGCAATACTTGCGCTTACAACTGATAGCCAGCACAACGGTTTCCAGCCAATGTGGGGTGTAATGGTGATGCTGATTCGGTCTCATCGCTGCTCAGCTGGTATGGGTCGCATCGGCATGCCTTCAGCTATCCCTTAAGTTGGTAAACGCTTGGATGTAGGAGCGTAGAACGAGGGACGACAACGACGCGACGGCCAAGCTCTTCCTTTTGCGCTAGCGCGGGGTCGGCCCACGGTGCCGACTCAAGATCCTGGGCACCAAAACGGTGCTCTGATCCAGCACCAGCGGCAACGCAATATCGCGTTACAGCGAGAAGCAGCGGAGGCGGCAGAGAGCGATCAGGAGATAGGGGTTTAACAACTCATTGTCAGCGAGCCCCCAAACTCATACTCATCCCTGCTACGGCAAAGTGCCACTCACCATGCGATTCTGGAAGATGCTGGGGGGCTCTTCAGCAAGCGGGCTCCACGAGCATGGAGGCCGCCCACGCTGGAGTGCCAGCGGGTGCAGACTTGGTTTCCGTGGCAGGAGGCGTGAGGGCGTTCTGCATCGGCATGGTGAGAAGTGGACGAAGAGGGCGCAACGAGGAGGAAAAGCAAGGAGAGAATGGATGCCGACGCGGTGGACGGGTTCCACACGGCGCACATCAAAAAACCATTTAAGAAGCTTTCCCCAAACTTTACATGTCCTCTTTGGGGCCGTTCTTGGGCCATGTGGGCCTTCGCGGGGTCGTCACTTGGACTCTCTTGCAGCCTCTCGGGGCCACCTCGGGCTTTCTTGGGCACTCATGGAGCCGTTCTGGAGCCTTCTTGAGACACCTCGGGGCTCTCTTGGTACGCTCTTTGGCCGTCTTGGGTTCCTCCGGAGGCCCTCTTCGACCTTACTGGGACCAGAGACATACTGCATCATGCGGAGGACAAGGGAAGCTTCAGAGGTCGAGACCTCTTTGTCGGCCTGGGAGAGGCCTCCGTATCAGCTGGTGCCCTCCTTCAATACGGCTCTATTTTGTTTTCTCTCTCTCTCTCTCGTTTTCGCTCTCTCTCTCTCTCTCTCTCTCTTTCTTTCGCGTTCTCTCACGTTCTTTGTACATGGATTACATGATGTATGTTGTCCTCCCTCTCTCTCTCTATCTGTCTGATGCCTTTCAGTTTGTCGGTTTGTCGGTGCCTCGGAAAATTCAGTGGGAGCCCTACGGAGCCAAGAAGAGCCTTGGAAAACTCTGGCGCCAGCGCCTGTAGGAATTCGACCCCTCTGCCTCGACTCGTGGCGTCTCGGCTTTGGCCGCAGCTTTGGCCTCGGCCTCGGCTGCGATGCGCCTCGAAGCCCCTCCGGGCCAGCTCACCTGAGCCGCTGTCCGGCTCGCGCGGGCGCCTCCCCTCCCGCCGTAAGCCGGGGGCGGGGCTCGGGAGGTCCTTGGGCCGCCCGTGGTCCGCGCGCCCCCCGCCGACCCCAACGGCCCCGCCCCGCCCCGCCCCGCCTCGGCCCCTTCGGCCTCGCCCCCGCCGTCCCGCTGACTGCCAGAGCGCCTCGGTGCCTCCGAGCTTCCACCCTCCGCGCCCGCGCCAGACGCGGCCCGGCCCGCGCCACCGCGAGAGGCCGCGGGGCCCCCTGTCCTTCAGCAGGCGGAGGCTGTCGTACCGGAAACTCTCCAGGTCCTGCGAGGAGGGCGCCATTGCCGCCGTGGCCGTCTTCCTCCTCCTCCTCCTCCTCGTGTTCCTCCTCTTGCTGCTTCTGCTAGTGCTGCTCCTCCTCCTCCTCCTCCTCCTCCGCCTCCTCCTCCGCCTCATCCTCCTCCTCCTCCTCCTCCTCCTCCTCCTCCTCCTCGTTCTCCTCGTCAAACTCTGCCTCCTCCTCCTCCTTTTCCTTCTCCTTCTCCTTTTCCTTCTCCTCCTCCTCGTCCTCTGGCCCTCTATCATCCTCCTCTGGCCCCTGCCCAAACAGCCGCTGGTTCGAAGACGCTGCCTGCTCCGAAGGAGAAGCTCCGAAAAGGACACGAAGATTAGCGAACAGGAAGCGGGACGCAGAGAAGGCCACAGGCACTAGAGCAGAAAACGGACCGAAGCGAGGGCGACCCGCCTTCCGACGCAACGCCCGCCATGCGAAGAGGGAGACAGAGAGGGAGAGAGAGAGACAGACCGAGAGATCAAACAAAGAGAGAGTGAGAGAAGGGGAAAAAATACCCTACATGGCCAGCTCCCCCTACTCTCTCCCACGTGTTCCTCCTCCTCCTCCTCCTCCTCCTCCTCCTCCTTCTCCTCCTCCTCCTCCTCCTCATCATCGTCATCGTCATCGTCATCGTCGTCGTCGTCATAATCATAATCATCATCATCATCATCATCATCATCATCATCATCATCATCATCATCATCATCATCATCATCATCATCATCATCACCATCACCACCACCATCATCATCATCATCAGCATCAGCATCAGCATCATCACCATCACCATCACCATCATCATCACTTCATCATCATCATCATCAGCAGCAGCATCAGCATCAGCATCAGCATCAGCATTATCATCATCATCGTCAGCATCAGCATCAGCATCACCATCATCATCATCATCAGCATCATCATCATGATTTTCATCATCATCATCAGCATCATCATCATCATCATCATCAGCATCATCATCATCATCATCATCATCATCATCATCATCATCATCATCATCATCATCATCATCATCATCATCATCATCATCATCATCACCATCATCATCATCCTCATCCTCGTCCTCATCCTCATCATCAGCAGCATGATCATCATCATCCCTCATCCCTCATTCCCTCCATCCCTCATCTTCCCTCCTTCCTTTTCGTCCTCCACTCCCTTCATCGCACTTTCTCCACAACAATCTCACTCCTCAATCTCCTCCTCCTCCTCCTCCACCATCTAATCCCCCCGAGCAAGCGTTCATGCAAACAAAAAAAAAACAGTAGAGAAGGTCTATGCTTACCCAGCACCAGCACAATCGGAACCCATCCCCCCGCCTCTGCACCCCCCCAAACAAAAACGACTGAGACTGCGGTGGCCCGAGCCTGCGGGCTGTGCGAGGCATGAGGCCACCGAGCAACTTGCGGCGCTCTAACTACCTTCTGGGCGGGCCGGCACCTGCCCCGCACGCGGGCCGACCCTCGTGGCAGCAAGCCCGTCACACCCGCGGTACCATACGACAAGCATACCTGGCCCAATTAGGGCGACGAGATCTATACATATCCACTGCTCCCGGCCAGGCCAATCCTGGGCCCAAGAGCTGTGTATACGCCCTCCTGGCTTGGCCAGGGAGGCATATACACCGCTCCTGGGCCCAGGATGGGCCTGGCCAGGAGTAGTGGATATGTATAGATCTCGTCGCCCCACCAATGATCCTGCCTGCCTCAGAAGAGTGGCCCTAGTAATCGCCGGGCGTCGCGCGGGCCAACGAGAAAAGGATCGAGATCAGAGCAAGCCCTCCCGGCCCAAGGGCCCCCGCTACGCAGGCAGCGTCTGCACGGCCGTTCTGACTTTGAGATCCACGAGACCCACTCGCCGGCCTTCTTGTGCGGGGGCCTCGGCTTCTTTTCCGCGGCATCCTAGCATCCAAACTGCTATTGGGGAATCCCACCAGCCCTCTGGGCGTCGGTGGTTTAGGGCGTTTCCTCTTCCACCCCTCCCTCTTCTCCTTCGGGGAGGGGTTTACCCCTTCCCCCTACCCCCTCCCCGCTGACCTGGACAGGAGGGGCGGGGAGCGGTCAGAGCGTCCAAAACAGCCTCGGCGAGGAAGCCAAAATCATTGATTTTAGCAGGGTTTTGGCCCCATTTTGGCCTCCTGGGGGGGCAGCGCTAATTAAAGCTCAGCTCTTCTTTGATAGATCTCCTCCAAGATGGTACACAGAAGCGCCCAGGAGGCCCCAAGAGGTCCCAAGATGGCCCCAAGATGGCCCCAAGAGGCCCCCAAAAGGCCCCCAGAAGGCCCCCAAGAAGACCCTCAGAGGCCCCAAGAGGCCCCCCCCCCCGAGGCACCCAAGACCCCGAAGAGCCCCCCAGGATCGCCAAGAGACCCCCAAGACGTCCCAAGAGGCCCCCAAGAATCGCCCAAGAGATACTCCAAGAGGCTCCTAGAGGCATCCAAGAGACCTCTGGCCCTTGTGCTTGCCCTCCTCCTCCTCCTCCTGTTCCTCCTTCCTGCTCCTACTCCTTCTCTTCCTCCTCCTCCTCCTCCTCCTCCTCCTCCGCCTCCTCCTCATCCTATTCATCCTCCGTCTTCCCACTCCCTCATCCATCCATCCATCCACCTCCTCCTTCTCCTCCTCACTCCTTTGCACGGTTCGGCCGTCCTCCTCTTTGCTGCCGCACTTCCCTGATCACCTCAACTCGCCTGGACATCGTCGTTTCGGGATGGGCTGGTGGGGATAAGCGAAGCGTCTAGAATTAGCCATTCAGCCAGAGAACTGGCCATCCGGCGCGCACGCTTTGGCACGCAACGACGGCCAACTTAGCGGCTTCCTCCTCGAGGTTCGACTAGGCGTTATCATCGGCAGCGCGCTATGCGTGGCGAGTGGCACGCCAATTGCCTGCAATGATTCATCGCCCTCCTGAAATGCCCGCGGCTGCCATTGGACCTGAAAACAAACTGAGTCGGCCCAAGAGAGCCCTGCAATCTACGCAGCGCTCCGAAACTCCCACGCAATCCCGCATAAACACGCAAACCAAAACAGCTCCAGCATCCTCCCCGAAATGGCCGCTTGGGAAAGGGCGGGGGGCAATGCCCGCATGCAGTCCGTTGATTAGCGACCCCCTCATCAGAGACCTGGACTACCGCGCGGCCCGCGCAAGCCAAGGCCCAAACAAACTTGGTCATATGCAGCTTCCGTCGGAAAAAGCCTAGCACCGCGCGGGAAATGGACCGGGTCGCACCGGTTGCCGTCTGCATCGAACAACTCACGCGCCGCTCAGGTGGCGGCTGCGCAAGGTCCACCGCTGCCGCCCAGCAGTGGGCGACAAGCGGATGACCCGCGCCAGATGTTGTCGCCTGTCGAACCGCGGGGCCTAGCTCGCCCTCCCTGGTTCCCCGGCTGCGGCAACGCTTCCAGACTCAATGCCGAGGTGCATCGACTTGACCGCAACGCGCGCACTTGAGTCAAAACTCGCGCCCCAGCTCGCGAGTCTGGCACGGGCGGGCAAACGGTCGAAGCCAACTTGACAAAACAACGAGACCCCCTGGCACTAAGCACGAGCGCCCTAGATGCAAGAGCCTTGCGGGGTAACCCCCACCAAAGCCCTCTCGATCTAACGACGCCCAATGCAAATCCTGCGTCGACGCGTTGACTATTTCCTCCTGGATGGAACCTGGGATCAACTTTTCTCTCGGCCGACCTATGCGCGCTGAGCCGCGGGTGGCGAGAGCGATTGCCATGCTCATCGAGCCCGGCGCGGCGGGCACTCGGGTCTCCCAGCCGGCCCACAGTGGCCGCGGAATGGCAGCGCAAACAAAACCCAAAACAACTCGTTCTGAGCGGGCTCCGAGACGGGCGCGGGCGCAAATTTGAACGCATGGCCCGACGTGCTCTCCGCCATCGCGCCCCAGCGCGCACGCAGCGCGGGCCTAGGGCGGGCGATCGCGCCCGCCACTCTGCTGCGAACCGGGCCAATGACGCTGCAGCAACATCCACCAGGGCCACGGCGCCCGACAACCCCTGCAATGATCGGCCGACCCCCCCCGCGGCAGGAGCTCCCCTCGCAAGTCCACCCGCCCCGGCCCCCCATCGCAACTCCACTGGGCCCGGCAGCTGTCAGTCGCGACAACTTGACTTGGCGCTGGGGCTCTCCTTTCGGAAGCTCCCCCCCCTCCTCTTTCCCACGCGTTTTTCCTGGGGGGAGGGGGCGCGATGTGTCAGCGCCCCCTTTTTCGCCCGAGATGGCTCCGCGAGGGCGCCCGACGCCCCGCTCCGGCACGCCTGCAGAAAGCCCGACGAGGGCCGCGGTGCAGTTCGCAGCGCCCTCGAGGCCCCTTAGGCCCCCCCCAACGAGCCAAAACTCAAGGGCATCGCCGACGCATGGCTCCTCGCCCCGTCGCTTCCGATGCGCCGTCGGGGCCCCCCCAAGACGGCCCAGGAGGGCGCCGGGAGAGGCCCGAGAAGCCCCGCCCCCTCAGGCGGCTCGCAGACTTTCCAATGGCCGGGGGGGGGGGGCAGGCAGGGCCCTGGGGGCCGACGCCGCGCAAATATCTCATGCATGGCTATGAGGGTGGCGCCAGTAGAAGGGCCCAGTCTGCCAGAACTTCCTAAACATGCTTCCTCTGGGCCGGATCTCGATGACCTGCCCCGCGATCCTCAACGCCCGCCATGCCGGCTGTTTTTGGAAGCTGAAGCGACTGTGCACCTATCGGGCGGTCTGCCACCCGCCCTAAGCATTCTTGGGGCTGCTCGCGCAGGTGGCTCTTGGCGCGCGGCGCTTTCGACGCTGGTGACAACGCGCGCTCCATCGGGGCGCCCCCTCTGGAAAACGTTGCCCCAGCTGCCTGAGCCCCCGTTGCCTGCCCCAGTTACAATCGAGGGCGACCGATGAACCTGGCGTGCGATGCGTTGGGAATATCCAGTCCTCGCCCCCCGCTCAGGCCCCTCAACTGGCGGCGCCGCTCATTGTTCCCGTCCGAGCTATCGCAGCGAGCCCCCCGAGAACGCGATCGCCCTCCCGCGCGACGGCTGGCTCTGCTTGCGGGCCGAGCACGGGTCGGTGGCAGCTGGCGCGGGGCGGGGGCCCCGGACCTGGACTTCGACCATTCGCCGAGAGGATGAAAATCCCCGCCGCAAGGCGCTGGAATCGGCAGGGGCCGTCGCAATCAACTTCGGTTCCCCCCGCCAGCTCGCCCGTGAAAGAAATCAGAATGAAGACGCCCGCCGAACTAATCTGGGTTTCACTGACGCAGGTGCGCCCGCTGCCTGACCGGGCCGCGCCTCGGATATGCCCCCGGGGCGCCTCCGCCGGCAAGTCGCCCGGGCGATGGTTGGACTTGGCGAGTGCGAGGCCCAGTCTGGGCCCTGCGCCGACCGCATCTGCGCGGCCATTGCTGAGAGGCCCCTCCGTCGCGCGAGGTTGCCCGGGAAGGCGGCCGCCGCTCCGATTCGCCGAGCCCGAACGCCTCCTTGAACCAGCTGGCCCGATAAGGGCTGGCTCTCCCGCGGGCCGCGCCAGCATGAGACCTCAGCCAATCCCGGCAACTCCGCCACGTGCCCCCCCCCCACGCCCCACTGCTCCGCCTAAAGCATGCTTGGGGGTGGGCGCCCGCCCTGCCGCTTGCGCGCTCTCGATGGCCGATGCGCGCTACTCGCCCCTCAGGTTAAGTCTCCTGCAACATGGCGACGTCTCCTCTCGCGCGTTTCTTCGCGCTCGTGACAGCCCCCGCGATCCGGCGACCCTGGCGCGCTCTGAAGCTGCGTCGGGGCTCCGTCAGACCCCCAGTCTCAGCAATCCCAGGGGCCCGCCCTGTCGCGCCGCCCCGCCCCCCCGCCCCCGTTGAAATATTCGGCGCCGAGGAGGTTGCAGCAGCGAGACCGCGCCGCCCCCCACCGACATCAGCTATCTTAGGGGCTGGCCCGACCCTGCCGCCCCGATGCCCCGCCTGCGTGGAAGCACGGGGAATGTCCGACGCTCCTGGTCGCGCCGACAAGACGGCGTGTTGGTCATGATGTGCCCTTCCTCTCCGGCCGATTCTGACCCTTGGGACCCCCCCCCCCGCCCGCCCCAGGCTGGGCCTGCCGACCCCGTCCACGTCCTAGGGCTGCGCTGGAAGTGCCGCCCAAGCTACAATCTCAAACTTTGCTGGGGCTGGCCCTGCCCAGCAACCCCGCGATCTCGAAGCTGATGGCGCCGTCCTTGATGGTGCATCCGCAGAGCTCGAAGTCCCCGGGCTAAAAATGTTGTTGATGGGGGTCCAACACCACCACCACCAACACCACCACCAACAACAACAACTGCTACAAATTGCCGCTGGCGAAATGGAAGCTTCCGCGTCCGCTTTGTCGTCGCCAGTAGCTTCTAAGCCAGCTCGCGTTTCTGGCCCAGGCCCAATCCCATCGTGGCCCCCTCTGCTTCAAGGAGGTCGTCGAAGGTGCCTTCGTTTATGTCGGCATTGATGTCTTCTGGCCAAACCTGTTCATCCGCCCCTCTGCAGCCGCACGAGCTGCAGGTGGTGGCGCGGGCGGGTTGTCCCAGGTGCTGAGCTTCGCTTCGAAGGCACTATGTGTCCGGACCCCGTTATGCTGGGCCGATTCAGCCTTTGCCTCCAACTCCTTTTCAAGCTGCTTCTTGTACAGTTGCCGACTGTGTTCATAACGGCGCACCAAGGCAGTGGCAAAATATGAATCAGCTGGGACCTTACGAAGATTATCCCTCTCTCTCTTTCTGTTTCTCTCTCTCTCCCTCTCTCTCTCTCCCTGTATATATAGCACTTTCTTGAGGCCCAAAGCCTTCTGGGCCCAGCTGGTTGAACGTTGATCCTGCACCTTCAATGAATTCACTGAGGGCGCCGGCCACCCGAAACTCATTATTGGGCATTGTATACTTGCGTCGCACATTCGTTGCCCAGCTGCCTTTTTTTTCCCATGTTTCCCGAGCATTATCTCAGCCCTTCGCCCCCCTTTTGACGAAGCCGAACACCACAACTTGTGCCCCCATTGCTGGGTTGCACATGGCTTAGGAACGTACCGCACTTGTAACACCAGCTGTAGTGGCCGTTTTTTTTGCGCGGCAGCCGCAAGCAACACACGAAATTCTCCCGCGCGTGAGCTTGCTGCCGCCATCGTCAACCGAAATTAGCGGGTTCGAAGTATTAAGCCAGCTGCAGCAAATGTGCAGTGAGTGTTCCTCCGCCCTGGGGGAAAATGCACCGTGCGACCCCTCGAAGATCGTCGCACGGCGACGGGAACCAAACGCTCAAAACCCCGCGGCACGGGCCTCAAACTTGAGTCCAAAATGGTTACGGACCCTCCACCCCGCCTGTCCTCCATCCTCTCCCTTCCCATCCTCCTCTTCCACCACCGTCCCCTCATCCACCACCATCCATCCTCCTCCACCACAATATTTTCATCCTTCTCTTCATTATCCTCCTCCGTCGCGCGAGCGGGGAAGCAGGCACTTCGGCGTCGCAGCCTTCGTGATCAAGAGCTCTGAATGACTGGATTTCAACTACCGACCCAGCCCCAGGGGTCGACTCTGATTCGTGGTCGAGATGTTTCTGTTCCGATCGCATGTTGCCAAACAGCTGTCTCCAGGGTGCCCCTTGGCTTTCCAAGGGGCTTCCACAGCCTCCCAGAGCACCTCACGAGGTCCCGAAGGCCCCAGGGGCTCCAAGCAGAGCGACGACCTGGGGATACGTCGGGCCAGGGGCGCCGTCCGCAACTCCCGCAGCCTGGTTGATGGCCGCGCGGCCCGCCAGGGGCCTCCGCAGGGCCGGGCTTGGAGAAGGTACGCCGCCGGGGTGTCTCAAGACGCTGGAGTTAAATGGGGGGCAGCGATAGGGGGGGGCGGATAGGCATGGGGGGGGATGCATCGACCTAAAATCGGCAACACGTCGTCGTTAGAGGCGATACGCCCCCGATAGTGAATCCGCACCTTCCTGGGCGGGGTGGGGCTATCGGGCCCCCATCGGCAATCAATGGGCGATTGGGGTTCGATGCCTATCCCCCCTATGCCTATCCTTAGGTCGGGCCTGTCCCCCTACAGGGGGATTTTTGGCGTAAAAATACACCCCATAAAATTCAAAAATTGCAAGAAATACTAGACAATCGCCCCCTGACTATTTTTACCAATTTTTGAGTATCCCTCCTGTGGAGGGACAGGCTCGACGTAAACCTATCCCCCCCCGTCGTTGCCCCCGATTGGACACGCCGGCCAGCCAAAGGCACGGGCAGCCATCCTTGACCGGTATGGGCGGGATGTTCACGGTCTGCAGCACCGTCAGGAGATAGTCGACGTCGGGCTTCGCGCCCTTGGGGCAGGGAGAGGGCCCGCCAAGGGGGCGCAAGAGGCACAGACGAAGTCCTCCATCCCTCGCCCCCCCCTCCGCTTGCTCCCTCTCCCCCCCTCCCCGCCCCCCGAATGCCTGCACCCGATCCCCACGTTTTTTTTCTTCCCCTCCCCCTTCCCCTCCCCACCTCCCCTTCCCTCCCTCCCCTGCTCCAGTGCCTGCAACAAGCCAGTCCCTGCTATCAGCTGCCTGGTTGCTCGGTCTCGGGGATGAGTGGGGGAGCGGAGCAGTGACGAGGACGATCAGACGGTGAGAAGATGAGGACCGACATTTCCAGCCTTCGATTCCGCGGCTGGTCAAAGGAAAGGAACGGAGGAGACGCACGACGAGGAGGAGGAGGAAGAACTGTGCAGCAGGAAGTGGAGGAATCGAAACCGCGACCACCTCTAAAACAGGAGGACAGGGGGGAAGGGAGGGGATAAGGACGGTGTTTGAATCGCCGCTGCGCCCCACACACCATTCTCTGTCACTCATACAGGCTACATGACTTCGGCCTGACCTAAGGAACGATAAATAAGGAACGAAGCCCATGTTTGTTCCAAGTAAATCTAGAAAGTCCGAAGGAACACCAGGGGGGCTCGCCGCCAAGAAGGTAGCGGAACGCACGCAAACCAAAGGAACAACCGAGCCCTTTTGAAAAGCAAGTGTTCCTTATCCAAGCCGGACCCTGTATGCGAGTATTCAGTGGCAGGTGGAGGGGCCAGGAACGGACGAGAGGCAAGGCAGCAGAGACACAATGCAGCCGGCGTATGGTACTCCACCGTCCAGGTCCAAGTCCCCCCCCTGGTAATTCAAGGGCGGGCACGGGCCCGAGCAAGCAAGACAAGGCAAGGAAACCAAAAAACGGCAGAAAAACAAGAAGAGCGGGCGAGGACGAAGGAGAGGACCACACACGCAGCGCAAGAAGTAAAGATGGGGGGGGCAGACAGAGAAAGAAGACCAGGGGAACCGAACCAGAGCGAACAGACGAGGCCATCACAAAAGACATACTTGAAGAGAAGTGACCATGCCAAGACAAGAGACAATCGGAAAAACTGAACAACATTTCCAGAAGGATGGCAGGCAGGAAAGAGCACGGGCGTTTAGGAGCGGAACGTTCCTTGACACTACGAAAGACGCCCCCCCCCTCAAAACATCCCAAACACATGGAGAACCGGACCGCTCCCCCCTCCCTCCCTTCACACAGAACCCCCTCTCTTCACACAAACACACACACACACACACACACACGTCATCGCGAGGGATGGAGGGGTTCACCCGCCACCCTCACCCCCTGGCGCCAATCGTCCTCGTCGTCGTCGTCGTCGGCGGCGGCGGCGTCATCGTCGCCACGCCCCCCCCCATCGCACTGGGCGGGAGGGTTCAACCCCCGTTCCTCTCCCCCTAGCGTCGTCGTCGCCGTGATTCCTCGTCCTCGTCCTCGTTCTCAACGTCGTCTTGATGGGCCTGTTTTCCACCACCACCACCACCACCATAAGTGGGAGGGGGAAGGAGGAGGAAGACGAGGACGAGGAGGAGGAGGAGGAGGACGAGGAGGAGGAGGAGGAGGAGGTTGATGAAGAGGAGGACCCCCTCCCACTCCAACTTATGATGGTAGTGGTGGTGGAAAACGGGCCCATCGTCGTCTGGGGGGGGAGGCGCGCGGGGGGAGGGCGGCCTTCAGCGGCCGCGAGGGGAGCACGGCCAGCAAATCCTCGCGCCACGCCCCGCGGCGCTCCCCCACCCCGCCTCCCTGGCCAGAGCACATCCCTCCAGCGCTGGGAGGCCGAGTCCACGAGTGGAAATGGGAAGGCCACTAGGCCTGACGGAGTCCCCGGCGCACCTCGGCGAATTGTGCAACGAACGGGGCAGATCACGCCTCTGTGAACGCCAGCGGGCCATCGACCCGCAGACGGGTCGATCATCGTCTGGTTGGCAACTGGTGCCAGACAAGGTGCCGGGCGAGAGGCGGAGGCCTGACAGCGGAGTAAAAGGACGAAGAGCTTAAAACGACAAACCAGCGCCCTCGGATCCAGGGGGCCGAACATTGCTTGCTTGCCACAAAAGAAAAAAGAACAAAGAGACAAAGACGAGGATCCGCCGGCCCGTTTGTGGGGCCATCAGGCTGCGAGTAGTAAGTTTCAGTGCCCTGCACCAGCTCCAGCTTCCAGTTTCCATTGTTACAGTCCTGCTTTCTTTTTCCGATTGAAAATTGTCGAAGTCCGCGCGAGGGGGGGAACCGAAAACCACCTGGTTACCACTCCCAAATCGCGTTGCCTGAATTCCCAGGGGGCCGTGCGACACGTAAAAATACTTGAAATTCGCGTTCCAGAAACAATAATCCCTTGACAATTACACTGTAGTCTTGCCCCCGAAGCCACGATCCCTAGTAAATTGCTCCACGCTCGCGCCCCCGAAGCCACGAACCCTAGCAAAATACATCGTCTTCGCGCACCCGAAACCACGACTTACCGCTAAGCATGCTACATTCGCGCCTCTGGGGTAACGATCCCCCTTCTACTTACGCCACGTTCGCGCTCCCGACGCCACGATCCCTCGTAAATTACGCCGCGTTCGCGTCCCACTTGGCGGCGGCGGCGGCGGCTGCAGCGGCTGCGGCGGCGGCAGCGGCTGCGGCGGCTGCGGCGGTGGAGCGGCGGCGGCGGCGGCAGCAGCGGCGGCGGCAGTGGCTGCGGCGGCAGCGGCTGCGGCGGCGGCGATTCGGCAACGGGGACGGCGGCGGCGGCGGCGGCGGCGGCGCGCGGCGCGGCGGCGGCGGCGGCGGACGCGGGCGGGCGGCGCGGCGGCGGCGGCAGCGGCGGCGGCGCGGCGGCCGGCGGCAGCGGCGGCGGCGGCAGGGCGGGCGGCGGCGGCGGATTCGCCCCCAGTAGCTGCCCATCCAAAGACGACTGCTGCGTATGCTGCGGCTCGGGTGCTACGTATGTGTTGGGAGGGCGAGTGGGAGTGAGCAAGACGGTTTGCGGGCGGGGAGGGCGTCTTGATCACTGTCCCTATTAATCAACACCCCCTCCCCCAAGCGACTGGGGGCCAACCAGGGCCCATGACACCCCCACCCCACCATTCCTTGTAAAAAACGGTGCAAACCACACTCTGCCTTCAAATTCGGAACATGCGCAGCCAACCCGATGCGGCCCCCCCACCATCCCTGTCAAAACACAATACATAGTACACTTGGCGGCGGCGGCGGCTGCGGCGGCTGCGGCGGCGGCGGCGGTGGCGGTGGCGACGGCGGCAGCGGTTGCGGCGGCTGCGGCGGTTTGGCAGCGGGGGGCGGCGGCGACGGCGACGGCGGCGGCGGCGGCGGCTGCGGCAGCGGCGGCGGTGGCGGCAGCGGCTGCGGCGGCGGCGGCGGCGGCGGCGGCAGGCGGCGGCGGGGGGGCGGCGGCGGCGGCGGCGGCAGCGGCGGCGGCAGGCGGCGGCAGCGGCGGGCGGCGGCGGGGGGGCGGCGGCGGCAGCAGCGGCGCGGCAGGCGGCGGCGGCGGCGGGCAGCGGCGGCGGCGGCGGCGGCGGCGGGCAGCGGCGGCGGCGGCGGCGGCGGGCGGCGGCGGCGGCGGCGGCGGCGGATTCGCCCCCAATAGCTGCCCATCCAAAGACGACTGCTGAATATGCTCAGGCTCGGGCCAGACTCGGGTGCTACGTATGTGTTGGGAGGGCGGTGGGAGTGGGCGAGATGGCTTGCGGGCGGGGAGGGAGTCTTGACCCTCCCCCCTACCCCCTCCCCTGGACCTGGACGGGGCGCCCCGCGATGTGTCAGAGTGTCTTTCTTCGGCCCCTGTGAGTGCCGGTTTTTGACACCCCTCACGAGGATCGTGGCCCCTGAAGGGGGGGGGGGGGGGGCAAATCGAGCACCCCCCATCCGTTGATCGATGGTCTCCAAGACGGCCCCAAGAGGCGCTCCATAGCTCCCAAGAGGGCCCCAAGAGAACGCCAAGAAAGACACAAAAGAGCGCCAAGAGGGCCCCGTGAGGGCCCTAAGACGCCCCAAAAGAGCCCCAAGACCCCAAAGAGCCCGAAGAGGGCTCCAAAAAGGTTCCAAGAGAGTCCCAAGAGGATCCCAAGGCGGCCCCAAGAGGCCCCTCGAGCGGCCTCAGATAGCCCAAGATGACCTCCAAGATGGCCCAGGTAGCCCAAGCTGGCTCAATATGGCTCCCAAGATGCTCCAAACCCCAAGACCGCCCCAAGAGCGCCCAAGAGCGCTCCGGAAGAGCCCCAAGAAGCGGTTTGCGGGCTCCTCAGGGGGGAGCTGAGTTGGGGACCTCCCCCATCCTGCAATCGATGGCCTCCAAGATGATCCCAAGAGGGTTCCAAGAGGGCCCCACAAACTCCCAGAGAGCACCAGCAGCAGCAGCAGCAACAACCGCAAGAATACCTCTAGATGGCTCCATGAGTCCTCGTCCGCGTCGTCCTCATCCTAGTTCTCGTTTTCCTCGTCCTCGTCCTCATCCGCGTCCTCGTCCTCCTCGTCCTCCTCCTCCTCCTCCTCCTCCTCCTCCTCCTACTCCTCCTCTTCCCTTCGCCCCCACGCGGCCCCCAGGGATGGCCAGAGAGGCCTTCCAAGGCCACCCCCTTGCTCCCAGAGATCTGTCGTTTCACCATGGTTGCTCGCTTTATTTCCCTAGATGTGTTTCTTCGTTTCTTTTCCCGTCAACTCTCATGGGCAAATGGGCAAGGCGTCTGAATGGGCTGGTGGGGATACGCGACGCGTGAATACATTGAGGCAACATACCCTCGTAACTTACACAATACGCGCGTCCCCGAAGCCATAATCCTTCGCACGTTACGCAATGTTCGCGTCCCCGAGGCCACACACCCTCGCAAATTGCTTAATACTCGCGTCCCCGAAGCCAGAACACATTCTAAGTTATTCAATGTTCGCGCTCCCGAGGCCACAAACCCTCGCAAATTCCTTAAGTATTGCGTCCACGTGGCCATAAACCCTCGCAAATTCTGCCATGCTCGTATTGCCGAGGCCAAGAATGCTCCAAGGCGCCCGACGATGATTCCAAGACGGCCCAAGAGGGCCCCAGGCGGCCCCAAGTGCAAGAGGCCTCCCGAGAGAGCCCCAAGGGGCCAACATCGTCGAGTTTACAAAGGTGTTTGACAGAGTTTGGGGTTCCGCATGTTCGGTTTTCCGACGCTCCAGAATGACTCAAGAAGCCCCCAAGACCGCCCCAAAACAGCCAAAGACACCTCCAAGGGGGCCCCAAGACGGCCCGAGAGGGCTCCAATATGGCCCAAGAAGCGTTCCGAGAAGCCCCGGGAAGCCCCCAGGAGGCCCCAAGAGGCCCTCAGAGGCGCCCAAGACAAAGAGGCCTCCAAGACGCCCAGAAGATACACCATTCGGCCCAAGAGGCCCCCAAGAGGCGCCGAAGCCGCCTCAAAGAGGCCCCCGAGAGGCTCCCCACGACACACCAGCACATATACAAGAGGCCTGAGACCTACAACCCAGACACGGTGGCAAGGCCACTAGGATCCGCCGCCCCCTGTTGATTCATCGCAGGGATGCCTGGCGTGCTGGACCCGTTCGGTTTTGATGTTGGTTCTTTTTCCAGAAAAGCTCCCCCTGGGGCTTCGGCGCGTTCCGCCGGGGTCCCAGAAGGCCGCGTAAACCACCTCAGCGTCCACAACAAATCCTCCAAGACCGCCCCCATAATGCCCAAGAGGCCTCCAAAATGGCCCCAGAACGGCCCAAGAGGCCCGCAAGATGGCCCCAAGAGGGCACACATACGACCCAAGAAGCCTCCAAGACGCCCACGATGGCCTCCAAGACGGCCCTGGAGCACCCCAAGATGGCCCCAAATCGGCCCAAAGAGGCCCCCCAAACGGCATCCGACGGCGTCAGGCGGGCCAGGAGCCCACCGAGATGGCCGAAGTTGGCTCGAAGCTGGCCCAAGACGGCACACGAGGCCTAGAAGAGGACCTCCAGGAAGGCCAGAAAAATGCTAAAAAAAAATGATCGCCCTTAGGTTTTTGAAGGATGTTGACACTTGCTTATGTTCGGCCTTTCGACGGACCGAGACGGTCCAAGAGCGCCCAATGATCGTCCAAGAGGCCTCCAAGATGGCCCCAGAACGGGCCAAGAGGCCCCAAGGACGGCCCCAAGAGGCCACCAATACGGCCCAGGATGCTTTTAACACGCCCAAGATGGCCTCCAAGACGGCCCTGGAGCATTCCAAGAAGGCCCCAAGTCGGCCCACAGAGGCCACCCAAACGGCTTCCGACGGCGTCGGACGGGCCAGGAGCCCACCAAAACGGCCGAAGATGGCCCTAAGATGGCCCGAGACGGCCCACGAGGCTCCCAAGAGGGCCTCCAGGAAGGGCCGAAAAGGCCAAAATCAGTGATGTCCCACGAGTTCTTGAAGGATTGTGGCATTTGTTTGTTTTCTGCCTTCCGACGGCCCGAGACGGCCCTAGCGCCCCCAAAGATCGCCCAAGAGGCCACCAAAACGGCCCAAGAGGCCTCCAAGATGCCCAAGAGGCCTCCACGCTCAAGATGGCCTCCAAGACGGCCCCAGAGCCCCCAAAACGTGCTCCAAAAAGGCCCGACAGGGTCAAAATGGCCTCCAGGCGGCCACGATGACCTTCAAGATGCCCACGTGTTCCCCGAAGGCTTTCCAAACCGATTCAGGGAACACATGGTCCGATAGCTTGGCAGGTCTGGCCTCAACGTTCGGCCACATATGCGCTTCCAAA